AAGGGAAGTTGCTTCGAACCATCGACCAGTAAGTCTTTCGGTATATTAATAGATGTATATTTCACTTAGCCTCGTGACGCAGGCAGAGGCGTGATTATATGTGCCACACAATCATATTAACAAGAAAAGCGCAAAACAATTTTGAAATTCACAGTGCACTGGTGCATGGAGGGAAGAGAGTACTCGAGAGAGAGAAAGCTGAAAGGGATTGAACTCTGCTATACATCTGGAACACAAAGTGGACAAGGTCATTGAGGAAAATGGTGACGATGGCGGAGTGCCCTAACAGAGTATGTCAGTGGAAGTAGACCGAAACAGGAACCGTTATACCGGATAAAAGACGTGCGGCGATCATGGAGTGAAATGAGGAGAGACGGTCGGCGGATCAACGTACAGGAAAAATTGGAAACATATACAAGGACGCATTGGATGAAACAGAACAGAGTTGAAGCGTCTGTAAAAGCATATATATGTTTGTGTCAAAGTATATTTATTCGCTATACGGTGTAACACAGTTGTCTTCAATGAGGACACTTTAGGTGGCTTTGGGGGCTTCGATCAGTAATGGATAATTTGGGTTATTTAGGTGTTTGCCGCTTTGATATGGGACTGACTACACTCTAGATACCCAACCTCAAAACACCTTGTAGGTGAGGCAGGAGGTGCGTTCCTCAACCTGGTCTGGAAAGCGGACGCACGTACCCAAAACGATAAATACAGCAGCGTCCAGCAACCGGTGACGGTGCCAAATTGTCGATTTTGGGTGTAGATCCCAAGCGTTCGCCAAACGAATCTGGAATAAGAAGGCAAACCTTGGCAGTCTGGAATGATACCCAGCTGATAAAGGGAAGGGGGCAGACTGCTTGAGGCAAACGAAAATTCTAATTGAGCTGGGTTAACGGGTGCTGTAGTCTGAAAAGAAATTCACAATGGGTTGTCAATTCCACTTCTAGAAAACCTTCAAGCCTCTCCTTAGGGAGAGGTTGGTGGGATAATTGGACGACCAACACTTCTTAGCAGGCTAACAACATGGCTTTGTCAACAGAAAGTCATGCCTCACTAACATATAATTTCTGGATGAGGTGACAGAAAGGTTGGACGCAGGGAATTGAGTCGAAAATTGCTACTTTAATTTCACGAAAAACTTCGACTCCGTTAAACACAGGTTCTTCCTGTGCAAACTGGAGGCCCTACGGATAGACCTGCAGGTAGTCAGATGGATCGAAGAGTACCTACACGAGTGGACGTTCTGCGTGAGGGTGGAACAGGAAACCTTGGAAACGGCAGAAGCCTGTAGTGCGGTTCCTCATGTCTCAGTCGTTGGTCACATACTATTTGTGCTGTATGTAACTGACGTCACTGAGGTCTTCCGGTGCCCCGGGGTCCCATTCGCGGACGACCTCAAAGTAATAGGAGATCCATCATCAGGGGACTTACAGGAGGCACTAAACGCAATTCATGACTGGGCGGACACATGGAAGCTACCACTCAACGCCAGCAAATTCTGGCACCTGCTACTGAACAGAGGGGCAGTGGAGGTACGACAACTAGGCGCTGGGTAGATGAACACCATCGAACCTGTAGATGTAGTCAGGGATATAGGTGTGCAGCNNNCCATGCAATGTTCGGCAGCCGCAGCGAAGGCCAACAGAGCCATATTCAAACTCTGCTGAACGGTAACGTCGATGGAGGCTAACGTACTCTTGCTACTGTAAAAAGCTTTTGTGCGACCACATCTGTCCAGGTGTGGGCTTCACCCTCAGTAAGGGATAAACAAGTGCTCGCGGCAGTACAAAGAAGGTTCACCCGGATGACCAGTAGACTGCAGGGAAAGTCCTACAAAGAAAAGCTGGCGGCCCTTGACTTATTCTCATTGCACAGCCGTCGCCTGAGGGGTGACTTGATTGAGACGTTCAAACAACTCCAAGGACTGTCAATAGTAGATAGATTCAAGTTAAGTCAAGTCAAGTGTTTGCTTTATGCACCCCGAAAGGTGGATATTCAGCAGTCACATAGTCATCTAACAATTATCAAACAAAATTATTACATGATTTTCATGAACAGTGAAAATGAATACAATTTAAGATATAACTGAGTAGAGGTCCGAAGCAATGCTTTCTGCGCTGACAAGAAATCGGGCAAGATAGGGCACCACAGAAGACCGATAAGCGGTCGCACGAACAAATATACACTTATAACGGGACCGGGTGGAAGAGGAGAAAACACGATTGGCAAGATCTTGATGTAATGGATGTGAAGGGTTATCCATGATTTTTGTTGCTAACGAAAAACATGACTTTGTATGCTGGAAAATGATGAAGTGACAGATAGTTTCACGGGAAATCCTACTGCTTCTAGATAGATGTGTTAATGATCTGGAAAGCAGTTTAAAGTCTTCTTTGAGCATTCCTGGAAAGATTAC